ATTTACAGTGCCTTGCATTTTTAAAAAGGGGAAGAAAAGGTCCTTTAGCAAAAGTTCAAGACTCTGCAGAATTCACTAGTATCAACAAACTATTAGTGCTGATTCAAATCCTTAGAAGTGTATTTGCTTATTCAAAGCACAGTTGATACAGGAAAGCTGGCTTTCCATTTTCCTTAATAATGTACAAATGTCACTCACCTTTAACTGGGATTAATTCTCCTTTTAGTTACCCTATGTAACAGAGGAGTAGGATTTCACTTAGTGCTTTATAGCTGCACCGTACAGAAGAACTGGGTGCAAGGTGTCCAGCAGGCACCGGTGCAGCACTGGTGATACAAGGCTGCAGAAATGCACAGATGTCTGGGTAAGCAGGCATCCCTTCTGTGCTTGGAGGCAGGACATTAAAATCGGTGTAAAGGTGTTGGGAGGAGAAGGGACAAGTTCCTTGACTTGAGTGGAAAGAAATTAAGAATTTGGCGCTCGTTCCTTCATGCGTGAGTTTCTACCCATACTCCTGTTTCTCGCAGGTTTGTGTCCTGTTCCCTGAGGACTGTTTTAGGGAGTAGTTAATGAAATCACTGGATGCCTAACCAAGCTGTGTTACCACCTCCTTTTCTGGAATTCGATGCATTAAAATTATGATACTGAATGAAAATGTTGTTATGTGCACATAACACAGGAACGGGTGCTCCAGGTTTTGGTTGGATGGAAACTAGTACCAGCTAAGCATATTGTTGCAGGACTCGATAAACTGATTTTTGTGGTCCCTTTAGATGCTGTGTTCAGAGGGTTTTGTGTGGCAAGCTTTCCCTCAGATCTGCATTCTCTCTTGTATGTTGGTATTTTTATGTACAGTGAATATGGTAGTACAAAAAGCCATTAAGAGCAGTTTTGCTAATCAGAGATTATAAACATACCTTTTCTTAAGTACCCAGTGTACTGATAGTTTTAGAAAATTGATGCATTTAGTGCTCAAGAAAAATGTTTGCAGCACAGCAGTTTTCCTTTTAACCTTAAGCATCTTCACTCTTATGAAATATGTATTTGACAGACATGGTTGCATTACTCTGCACAGAAGTACATTTTAGCTGATTACATACATCCCCTTCTGTGAAGGTTATTTTAATGTGATGCTTAATATGATTTGCTGTCATGAGTTCATACTCCAGAGATGTTACGGTGTCTCGCATCTTATTTTTTTTCCCCTTTGCACAGAGGATTATAACAAAACAAGAGATCTTGTTTTGTCTTGTATCAGAACATAGCACTCAGGAGTGGTTTGGATGCAGCACTGGTTGATGTTTCAAAAGCAAAGTTAGAGCAGGAGTGTGTTTTGTGTGCTGCAAGTTGCCATGGCTTTTGAGCTTAACATACCTTAAACAGAGCTGATTTGGAGTTCACCTCATGTCGTACTATTTCCAGCCTCTTCAACATCAATGGACCGTCATTTGTACATGCATGTTATGAAGTTCATTAGACTAAATCACCTCATTAAAAATAAAGTGGCTTGATACCTCCTTGTCGTAGTATTGTATCTCACAGTTGATAGCTCTGGATGCCCAGTTTCCACAGTTTTTTGTTTCATTTGTGCAAAACTACTGTTGCACTATCAGAATTATGAGCATATTGTTATATCAATTCCTTTATAGGAAATCATTGTGTTGGGGAAGATTGGATGAGGGGTAAACATTTAGCTTTGAATCATGAGAAAGGAACATCATTTGCAATACCAGATCTAACTGTGGCTAAAGTAATTCCATTCACTGAGGGTGTGCTGAACTGTCCTGTGGGCTTTCCCATTTAGGAACAGAAATTGGGACTCAGCAGCCTTCAGCAACACTGAAGTAGTTCATACTTGTTCATATGTGAGGCCATGCTGTGCTGTTTCACACAACATGTCAAGTAATGGCTGAATGGTATAGCATATTTTTATCAAATATCAAAGTTACTCTTTCTGAATACTGATCCTTTCTGACTGGGAAGCGGCTTCAGTGTGACGCCGACCACCTGGGGCACGCAGTGAGGACTCAACATGTCCATGGTGCAATTCCACCATGCTGTGGCACTGGGGAAAAGCTCAACATGTGCACAACAACATGACCAAAATGTTTAGCAATTGCCTTAGTTTTTCTTTGAGTATGTTCCTCCTCTGAGGTTTTCCTCAGGTCTTTCTACCCTCTAAATTCCTCTCTGTGAGCTCTCACTACCTCTTTTTACACCATTTTTTATGCTTTGTGCTGGTGTGTTCTTGCTTCTTGAGCAAGTGGAAGGGTGGTGGAAGAATGGGGGTTGCTTGCTGTGTGCTGTGGTGACAGTGTGTCTGAGAACAGAAATAGTCTTTAGCAAAGTTTTTGCTGTCTATTGAAAACCTGGAACATTTGGTAGCTATTTCAGGTCTGTTCCCTTGGAATTCTGCATCTTCATATGGGTCTGAAGAGGCAGTAGGCAGAGAAAAAGAGGCTATACCAAATGGGATCTTGTCCTTACCGTGTGTTATCTGCCTGCCCTGTGATGAGGAGCATGCCCAAAAGGATTCCTATCCAAGGAAGGGGAAAACTTCCTCTATGGAGAATGACAGAGAGGTCTGAGTGGATGAGTGTTTCATGGGTGGTCAGTCCTTTTCTCTCACTTTTATCTCTCTGCTGGGAGGACAGAAGGATTTCTTCCTTTCTAAGAAACTTACCATATACCCAGGCTTGTGGAAGGGCTGTGGTTGCATGGGATGGGCTCGCTCTGACCGTGGAGCGGCAGAGCAGGGTGCAGTTGCTGTGTCGTATGCTGAGGGCTCAGCACCCCGCTAATCCAGCAGATTTCTGACTCCTCCTTCTCTCCCCCCACCCCCCCCAGCAGCATCAAGGGCATTAGGATTGGGGTTTTGTTTGGGGTTTTTCTCAGTAGCTGACTAACTTATCCTGTTACTGGTACAGATCCTCACATCACCCCAAGAGCACTGCAGTGCACTTTTAGCTCTGAATAATGAATAAGCCAATAGGTGTTTTGTCTAAAAATGTGAAGGCTTGAATGGTGTTTTTTGTAAAAGGTGGGATTTGGCTCAAGATTTTTGTTTTGGGGTTCTTTTGGGTGGGAGGGAGTGTTTGTATAAGAATTGTCAACAGCTGCTTCTGGGTGCATTGGAAAACCTGCAATAGATTTCCATCACAAATATTCTGAATATTAACGCTTTTACAGATGTCAAAGATGTCAATAGATTGCAAATGTTCCTTTTATTCAAAATACTGATCAGTTGTTTACATTAAATAAATACCAAAACCAGAACAACCTAAACCAGAATAAAACACTCCGCTGTTCTGTGTGCACTTGGTTCTCCTGGCTCTGCCGAAATGCTGACTTCACTTGCGGTGGGGTAGTCACATCATGAGAACACTGACTTTGAAACGGGGAAAGTGAAGAGGAGATAGGCATTGCTCATTACTCTGAGCTTCCTAATCTGTAACTTGCGTACAATTGAACAGAAAGTGAAAAGGGTCAAAGTTACCACTTTTTTTTTTTTTTTTTTTAAGTTAGTGACATTTAACATTATGTGCTAGTGTGGCCCAAAGTTTGCTAAGTTGAGATAGGAAACTAGCTTACAAGTGTGTGGTTTCTCAACTTCTGTTTGGATTTGCTTCCTTGCACGGTAGAGAGTACTGTTGCTCTGTTCCCGTTCTCAGGCTTGGTAGATGAAAATAAGTTCTGGGAAAGTTGGTCTTCCTGGTAAATGATGGCTTTTAGCAAGGCAACTTTTGTAGCTTTTCATATGATAACTGCAGATTTCCAAGACAAGGTTTGCAATCTTCAGTAATTTGAAAACAATGTTGGTATTTCCCAGGCCACAGAAAACTCTACTTCTTCTCCATTTAAAAATATCTTTGACTTTTCATCACGTATTTGGCTGTTACTTAAGGTTTAATTCTGCAACGTGCTAAGTACTCTGGACCTAAGTACAATTGCATATGTGCTTAAAACTGAGCAAGTGCTTATAAGTGCTTTGCTTTTTCATATTCGGTTTTGGTTTTAAGTCCACAATATGAAGATCTTAAATGACACCACTTCAAAAAGACTTCTGCGTATTTTTAAAAATGATTTTAAGGCTGTGCTCATTGTATTGAATAGTAAAAAATATCTTGAAATATTAAAGAAATGTAGGAGCTTTAAGCTGAATGTTCTAACGTTCTTCTTGGTTAGGAAAAGCTATTAAAGAGTTCATTCTCATTTGCTTGACAGCCTTAAATGGGATATCTCTTCGGAAACTGTTTGGGTTTTGTTGCCTGTTGTGGTGGAAGAGCAGTGAAGGGAACAAGAAGTGGTATTTCATCATTTGTATAGAACTGTTGAAACGTCACAGAGTTGAAAAAAGGAGATATGGGGCTTAAGGAAAAAAAAAGCTGTATTTTGAAACTGTAGTGATTTTTAAAGGACGTAATAGGATCACAGCAATAGGTGTACTGGAGAAGGCATGGGGGCTCAGGATGGTTACATCCCTGAAATAGCAGGTACAGGCTTATTTAAAAAAAAAATAAATTTAAAGACGTTTTTCCTTCCCTCCCAGAAATGAATGTAGACCAGAGAAACTGCCATCACATTCCTTTGAAATCGATCATGAAGATGTGGATAAGGATGAAGTATGTATTCTGGTTTTTGGTGGGGTTTTTCCCCTGGGGAAGAGTTACTTATTGCTTTAATATCAAATAAAGAATGATAGTGGAGGCTCATTATCACCTATAAAATATTTCATATTTTAAATAACTCTGAAGTTAGTGGAACAGCTTTGTCTCATGTCATCATGTGCACAGAAGGCATATTAATAACATCTTATTTTAAAATGAATGAAAGGATGATTATTTGTTGTCAAGCAGATATCCACATGTTACAGTGTCTTTTGTCCTAGAATTCAAAAAGCAAGACCATGCAATATTAATCATGTCTTTCATACAGGATACAACATCCCACTCATCTTCAAAAGGTGGTGGTGGTGGAGGAGGAGGAGGATTAGCAGCAGGAGTTTACAAGTCTGGCTGGCTTTATAAAGGGAATTTCAACAGCACTGTAAACAACAGCATTACTGTTCGGGTAAGGGGAGAGCATTATTCTTTCTTTACTCCATTTGGATTTATATCCCCCACAGAGGCATGCTTGTTTGCCATTGTCGTTTGGCTGTTTATATCTCACATTTGATTACATTGCTTTAAATGGTAGTAAAGTAATACTGCAGTTGTCCGCAAAATAATGTGATTGAAGTGCAGTTAGGAGTTGCCTAGTATTTAAATAAAGTATCAGTGAAAATAATTAGAAGTACAACAGTTGTCATTCTTTCTTTTTTTTCACCCCCCACTTCAGTCATTCAAAAAGCGCTACTTCCAGCTGACACAGTTGTCGGATAACTCATATATTATGAATTTTTATAAAGATGAAAAAATATCAAAGGAGCCAAAGGGATGTATTTTCTTGGATTCTTGCACAGGAGTCGTACAGGTAAGATTCAGTTTACTTCATTGTATTGTTTGGGTGTCAGATAAATTTTAAAAGGTAAGTAGAAGAACACATACATTAATGGAATAGTGGTCTCATGAGCAGTTTCATGAAATGAAAACACCATTTGTTTTGCTCTTTAAATTGGTGCAAGTGTTCAGACTGACAGGTTACAAAAAATGAGCTTGAATTATCGTAGCAGATCATGCATATGCTCTTTGCCCATGGCACGCATGAGAAAAAATATCATAAAATGTTTCTTCTCACTGGAAGTATTTTCTTAGCTGCCAGATTTTACCTCATGCTTACTAAGAGGATGCTTGCTTACTGTGGGTTAAAGAGACTCGGGTTACAAAGCATCGGCTGTTGGGCAAGTGGTAAATTAATCCAGTATCCTGAGCCTCCTTGAAGATCATCACTTTTGGAGGTGATAGAGATTCTTAATGGCAGCAGGTAGGACAGTGCCTGATTGTTGTGGCTTGAAAAAATAAATAGCCAGAAATGTCTGATACCACCTTTTTTTTTTTTGTTCCCCCTAAGATAGAGTTCTTAGCTTTTTTTCCCCCCTCTTGCTCTGCCTTTCCTCTAATTCTATTAATGTATTTATCCTTCTTTCTTTTTTTTTTCCTTTTTTCTATTCTAAACAAGATGTTATCTTGAGTAGTATGTTGCTGTGGTTGATCTAGTAAATAAGGATATTCCTTTTTTTTTTTTTACCTATACTTTATTGTTTACTACTTAATCAGTAAAGATTGGTAATAGTGCTAATGCAGACTGATTTGAGGGTTGCTTTGAAAGAAACCTTTCAAAGCATGCAAGGGAAGACCCCTACACAAGCTTTTGTTGGTTGGGAAGTCTCTCCTTCACCTCTAAAGAGGCCCTTTGGAGCAAGAAAAATTATCAGTGAGTAATTCACTCTGGGAACAAATATTTGCTTACAGCCCTCTGCAGAACCTATTCGTGCACCCAGGAAAGTACCCATCTCTGTAGGGAATGGCTGTTTTCCCTGCATAGTTCAAAAGGGTGTTTCTTTTTTCAAACAGGTATAAGACAGGATGGAGATAAAAATGTAGAAGGACAGTGATGTTTGCCTGTGTCAGTCCATTGGCTTGAAAGCCATAGAGGTGATTCTTACACAGAAATCCTGTTTAGAAATTACTGCTTCATCCTGCTTGCTGACAGTGTGTGCTTTTTTTTTAAGAGGGATCTCAGCCAGAGCTCTAGTTGAGCCCTGAATGTCCCTGTAGTGTGGTTTTAGGTTCAGATTTAATGCTATCCCAGAGGGTCCCTGTTCTGCTTTGTTGTTTCTGATGACACTCTGTGGTAGCAGAAACGTCTTGACCACAAGATTTCTGCCCTTTTTGACTAACCCTTGACAAAAAAGCTCAAGAAACCTTTGGAATCCTCCTCACGAACTTTGACAGCTGCCTTCCAAATCTAGTGTTCCTGCAAATTGTCCAAAACTGAATGGTGTTCTTCTCTTGCCTACCCCCGGACACTAGTTTTCGTGATTGTTCTTTGATTGACATTTAGAATGGGATGGACACATTTATGAACTATCTTCACAAGCAAGAAGTGAGAAGCTAAGGGGGTAGTAGGGCAAGTATCATCAGCTATCAAAGTCTGTGATGAACTTAGAATCATAGGGCTGAAAAACAAATCCTGGCTTAGCATTGCCATAAACCAGGGAGACCATAGAATGTGGACAAAGAGTTGGGTAAAACTGAAGATACAGAGGAAAAGTGTGATGTGAAAGTTCTGATTGACTAATTTTAAATGCCACTATAGATCATTTAACTCTCTATGAATGACTTTGAGCTCCGATTTGATAGAGGTTGAATATCTAAATTGAAGTAAACATCCTGGAGAAATCATCTCCAGATAAAATACAAAATACTTCCAAAACAATTCTGTTATTTTGGAAGAATGACCCTGCAGGCATTAGACTTAGCCTGATGTTCCATTTATAGCTCATCCATAGTTTCTTTTTGAATCTTGTATTATTTCCTTCTGGAAGAAATTTTAAACTAGAAATTAAGTATTGAAGATTACAAGCCAACCTCAAGGTCCACATACCATATGGAAGGACTTACAGAGAAGCAAACTGAGAAATTGTACTTTTTTTTTTTTTTTTTTTTTTCCCTGGTATCTGATCAGGAAGAAAATAGTTGGCTTTAGATTCGAAACAAAGACTTTGCTGTAGATCTCATCTGCTTGCCAGAAGTCTGAAGTGCAGATGGAAAAATGGATATTGAAGTTTTCCTGCACTAATGTTCTTAAGATTCAGCATGCAAGATGTATTGCTCTATTAGATAATGTCTAATAGTGTTACAGTACCTGATTTAAAGATCTTGGCCATGTCTGTAAGGGCAAGTACATAATATAGACAAGAATGCATTGATTTTAATGCTCTTAATACTTTCTGAAGATAAATTGAAACGTAGCCTTTTTCTTTATAGATTGTGCAAAAATTGGTATACATAATCCACTCATACAAATAATCTGTCTTTAAAAATTTTGAATGGCCACTACCTAAGATTCTTGGCATAGTTTTGTTCACCTTCTAGCTCTTGGTCAAGCCATCATGTTATATCAGTAAAATCAGGTTTCAGTGAAATTTTAGTCCTTTTTTTACATTAATTTGAATGTACACAGTGATTGGAGGATTAGAGTGATTTCGGGATCAAGAAAACTATTGGAACCAATTGCTACAAAACCCAACCCTATTTTTACCCTGTGAACTGGGTGAACTAAAATCTATATCCCTGAAAGAATATTCACCTCAGTAAAGTACTTGAGAGGAAAACTATTTCCTACCAAGAGAATTTCCAGTAGCAGAACTAAAAAATAACACACACGCACACACATACACACACAATCCCAAGTCAGTTTGAAAAGCCAGGATTTGACTGACTCTGTTGACCTGAGTAGCTCCAGAAGAAGTTGTTCAGTCTGAACTGATTCCTGAGCTGGGTCATGACATGTAATATATGGACTGGAGGAAGTGATAAACGACAGATTGGGTAGGAATCTTCTAAATCATCTCTGCTGCTGGGAAAAAAATGCTCATGGAACTTTATTCTCAGTGTCCTGGGTTCTCACTCCTCCTCTGCTAATCATTATCAGATTTTGCCTCTGTTCCTCTTAAATAAAAGTATCACTATCTTCTCACCATCTGGCTTAAGCTATAGAACTACAGGATATCGTTGTCATGTTATCTGAGACTGTTAATGAAGAAAAATGAAATTGAGTGAAATGGCTAGTTATGGGGTAGATGAATTGTTTTTCATTTGTTGGCATCACTCCAAGGTCAGATGTGTCAACAAAGTGATGGCAATTTTCTGGAATATTGAAAACAAAACATTGGCACTGATGTCCATAGTCAGTGGCTGTAAAAGTTTGATGGAAGTAATAGTGGGTAGGACTCGTCAGTGTTCTTTCAGATTTAAGCAAGGAGGAGAGACAATTGATGCAACTGCTTCCATGAGACTAAGAGATAAAAGCCTCACTAATTTGATAAATTTTAGAAATAAAAAGCACATTATATTAGATCACATCACTTTAATTTTATTGAGCTGTTTCAGTAACTAAGCACCTGTTAATACTTATGACAGAAATTGATGGATTGACCATCTACTGCAGGTGAAATCTGGTGATATAGAACAGATCTCAGAACTCAGTCTGTTGCCAGTATACTGGGCATTGGTTCTTACTCTGTACTTGAAAAGGATAGCATTGCAGTGACTAAACAGCACTACACCTCACCTTTTGCCTCCTGCAAATAATTATTGAAATCGCCTTAGTTGTTTTTAAAATCCTTCCAACACAAAGGCAACAGTTGGAAGTACCCATTGGAATCTTTTCACATGGAGGAATTAGTCCTATTGCAATCTTCTGGAGAGATTTACTGGTTCATCTCTATTCCAAGTTCAGACTTACATCATCCAGAAGCTCTTTCAGAAAAATATAAAAAGAATAAAATGATGTAGAAATGTTCTCATCCTAACCACAATGTTTCTAACTTCATTAGACGCTCAGAAATTGTTACCTTCATGTAGCTTGTTAGCAGCACCTGTAAATACCTTGAACCAGAAGATTTTATAAATTGTTTTAGCTTTGGCCTACTCGGGTCCAGCCTCAGCAGTCAGGGGTGGAATAGTCTTTGACCACGTGCTGACTTTGCTTGCTTGCTAGTTTGTATTTGGCAAACTCAGTCCTGTTCCCATAGAGCAAATAGTCGTATGACTTAGCACTGCTTAGCGTCTTTTTGAGTGCTTGGTGTGCTGGTAAGGTGTAGGAGACTTGGGCTTTAGAGATGTTCTCTCCAGACAGCTACGACTCATGTAGCCACTGCTGTACTTGGCCATCAGAGGTCTTTCATTATTCCACTTGGGAGGTATTCCCAACTGCAGTTTAAAGAGTTATTGTCCATAGTCTTAGATTTCTGTGGTTAAACAAAAGATGTATATTTGGCCATAGAAGATCTTAGATGTGCAAAGACCCAACAATAAATTGACAGAACTTCGCATTAATATCACACTACTTGAGTTTTCTTTAAAGCCACTGAATTTTGCTTGAATGTTATTTTTAAGGAGTGGCCATATACAAGTCCATCTTATGGACGCCCTTTTCAGTATCTTTTTGTAACTAGTTCTAGGGTTTATTTTTCTTTTCCTTTTGTTCCAACAGAATAACAGGCTTAGGAAACATGCCTTTGAGTTGAAAATGAATGACCTCACATACTTTGTGCTGGCTGCTGAAAATGAGCAGGATATGGATGACTGGATTTTCACTCTCAACAAAATCCTGCAAATAAATCCAGAGGGAACCGTTCAGGAGAGGAAAAGTGCAGATCTCACTGATCTGAAACTTGGTAAGAGTGAATAGTCTCTTGCATTGTTTCGGGTTTTTTAATCAAATGCAAAAACCTGAACCTTCAGATACCACTACTGAATCATTTTAACTGCCCGAGTCTGTGATGGATTCTGCACCTATTGATTTGTGACAAAGCAGCACCAGTCTTTTGGCAATCCCTGAACAAAGTCAGCTAACTCTCCACAGATCATTTTCAAAAGGCTGTGGGGGAGGTAAAGCTGCTCCCCACAAAGTCAGCAGGAGCAATGTGGCTCTGCTTTGCATATGCAGCTCTTTTTCAAGTATAGTCCTCTCAATCAATGATCTTGCCTAGTGCTTTGTGTTTTACTGTCTTGGGAGTCTGAAGGTTTTAAAGAGTTTTGTGCTGGAGAGAGCTAGATCAGTTCTTTTTCCAGCGTTTTGTTTTCTTTAAAAATCTGGAGCTAATAATTAAAAAAAATCCCAG